TTCCGTAAATAAGGGATTTAAAAATTTAGATGATTACCTGGTTCAGCCTAAAGAAAATTATTCTGTAATCTGGCCACAAACCTTTTCGGAGGAGAGGCCAGCAGAAGAAGAATATCAACTTATCGATGATGATAATGCCTTGGTTAAGGGAGCCAATTTAGTTATTGCAAATTACGGGTAGCTCCAGATTGGAAGAATCGAGAAGAGATTTATCAACTTTCAAGCACAATATATTAAAGAATGCCCTATATGTGATGTTAAACATGAAAAAGACCAACTCTATGGGTTTATTCGAAAAAATGGAGATTTTGTACTTAAATGTTATCGCCAAAAACAATACAAGCCAGATCATAAGGGCCTTAGCTTCGGTAAGGTATCAGATAAAGTAGAATCGAAAGTGAAACCTAAGTGGAGATTAATTAAAAGATTACCAAATGCTGTAAAACATCCATGCCCACTTGTAGAATTATCTGAAAAAAATATTAATGCCAGGGAAATGGAAAATGCTTCAGAAGCTTATCCCAATTTCTTGAGTAAGGAACCCACTACATCTCTTATCTGATCACCTGTAATGACAGGAAAAACAAAAGCTTTAAGAATTATTCTCAATTCCTTAGCCAAAGAAGGGAGCAGACTGCCGTGTTTTGTTTGGGTTTCACATCATAAGACTCTCAGTAATGAGACTAAAGCTAAAGTTGATATATTACAAAATGCAGGATTGCGTGTATGTAATTATCAAGAAGTTGAAGGAGATTTAGCTATATGTAATTGGGATGTTATTATTGTTCAGGCTGAGAGTACATACCGTCTTTCCCTTTTTGGAGGTGGTTCTTATGTAGTTATTTTAGATGAAGTAAATGCTATTATACGTCAAATGAATGGTGGAGTTCATGCCCGAGAATCTGAAAATGCCATGCGGGATTTGTTGAAGTCAGCTGTACATGTTCTAGCTATGGATGCTTTTGCAAATGAATCTACTTTAAACTTCTTAAAGCAATATCGAGGTGAAGATATACGAGTTTTTGATAATAAGTATCAGCCACATAAAGGTAAGTCTGTAAAAATTCTTTATGACCTGGATAAAGGATCAGAAGCTATACGTAAAGGTCTTAAGTTGCTTCAAGAAGGTAAGCGTGTTGCTTTTTCAGTTACCTCATGTAAAAAAGCTAGAGCTATAGCTGTTCAAGCTTCTAAGTTATTAAAACCAGATGGTTCACATGTTTTATCATGAGTTTATTTTGGTCAAATGGAAACAGCGTCAAGAAGACTTTGCTGATATTAATGCTACTTGGAGTGGTCTTGATTGTGTAGTTTATACAAGTACTGTGGAAGCTGGTATTTCCTTTGAAATTTCTAATCATTTTGATTCAGTTATAGGAATAAGCAATATTAATACAGGAGTACATGCTGAAGCTTTTGCACAAATGTTTTATCGAGTACGTGATTGCCCACATCATACTATTTCTCTTTATAATAATAAAAAAAATGGCATCTTCAAAGAACCGAATCGTGATCTCATTTGTGCTGAACTCTCTGCTTTGAGACCTGGAGATTTACCAACTGCTATAAAAGGACATCGTAAATGAGACAAAATTGCTGATTATTATATTATTGATTCGTCACCAGCAGTTGAAACTTATATTGAGGTTGAATATCAGAAACGCTTATCTGCCAAATATTTTTCTAAGATTCTTTGCAGTCTTATTGCTAGTACTGGTGCAACACTCGAGTTAATTTCAGCAGAAGATACTGAAAAAGTTAAGTGAAATGTAATTTCTCATACTATTAAGAATACTGAGAAAAAAAGTAAAGGTGAGGATGCAGAATCAATAGCAAATGCACCTGATATTACTCCCGATGAAGCTAAAATTATTAAGCAAAATCCTATACGCTCTTTCACTGATAATATTGCTCTACAACGTCATTATTTATAGAAAACATATGCTTCAGGCGATATTGGTGGCAAGGCTGACATTCAGAACTGGGGCATGAACAATGACAATTGGATTAAACTTTGTGACGTAGATTTTGTAAAAACATATAATAATCCTGAACCTTTACAATATTTTAGGAGACTGGCATATTTCAGAAGACAAGGTTCCAATGCAACAAATTCTATAGAGAATCTGAAAATCAAAGAAGAAATGCAATGGGAAGATTCACACGATTCTATGGATCCGTCTTCGGTTGATTTACATAAATTTTATTCAGTAAAACAATGGGAAGCGGTACATAATCTTGTCCAATCGATAGGTTTTAATGATATTGATGATACAAATATTCTTTCTGGTGATGATGTAGCTAAGACTTTTGACCAATCACAGGAAAAAATCGTTAAAATTCGAGAAGATGCATTATTGCTCTTCGGTTTTAAGACCAGAGTTAAAGGATTACCTGATCTCAATGCTACAATAAAGTTCATTAATGCAATATTAGGTAATTGGTGCAGTTATACTATCAAGAGTGAAGAAACTCGTGTAGGCCCAAGAACTAATCGGGTATGGAAGAAAACTTATTGGATTTATCGTGTGCCACCTAATGGTGCTGGAATTGAAACTATAGAAAGAATAATGGCTATAAAATTGAACGATCCTAATTATCACCCTACAGATCCAATTCTTCCACTATATAAACCTGAATCAATTAATGAAATTCAAGAACTTTTTGACTCAATACCCGTTACTACTGATATTACTATTTCAGAAAAAGCAAAACTTCGATGCTCTGTTTCATCTAATAATAAGGATTGTAAAGAAAGTTCTTGCTATAATGTAAATGAGGAATCTGTGACAAATTTATCTCAATCACCTTCTATAATATTAACTCAAGATCGATTAAATGATTTTGAGCAATTCTCAAGTATTACTAAAACTAAGAAAGAGATACCCGAACTTTTAACCACAAAGTATCTTCCTTCAGAAATTTCTCTATCTTCAGAATATCTTATTAAAAACGAATCTGATATAGACACACTTATTCTTCTTTTACAGCAAAAATTCCAAATGTCGAAAGAAAAGCTAGAACAATGGAGATTCAAGATTGCTTTTGAAATGCGGGATAATAATAATTATTGGAAAAAAGAGCACGAGAGCATGGATGAGATCGCTTTCTTAGATCACAAGCGGAAGTTTGAAGCGAAAATGGACGTTCCTACCACTCCATACAAAAAAAAATTAAAAAGGCAATTTATGGTTCTCATTGAATACGTATAATTATGCTTCTAACTCTGAAGATATTAAAACACAGTATACCTCTAGCAGAAGGTATATTGCTATATTTAACTAACCATTTTTGTCAACTCTTACTGTAAGTACGGGAAAAAATTTAAATAAAAATTAATATTCCAATACCTCAATACCTAGATCATATAAAGGGGTTTTTGGGTCGTGGTAAATAGATCTCTTGCTCAATTCACGTAAGTACTAGAAGTATATAGATAAGGTAATTTAATCGATAACCATTTTTGTATTATGTAATTTTGATCGAGGTGTACTTTTCAGTAAATAATACGTATATAGTATATTCAAAAAAAATTGGTGTCTAGTTAAGGTATAAAATTCGAAGAAAATCAGTATTCAGTCAAAGTAAAATTATTATAAAAATGACGATTATGCTTTGGATAGACACAAAAAGTATATTATTTTAGCTACATAATTCGAAAAAAATCGGTGTCCAGTCAAGGTATAATTACTAATGTTATAAAGTATACTTTGGATAGACATCAAATAAATATAATTCAAAAAAAATTTGGTGTCTGGTCAAGGTAAAATTTATAGAAAGGATAGTTATACTTTGGATAGACACAAAGAGTATATATAATTCGAAGAAAAATCAGTGTTCAGTCAAGGTATAATTCGAAGAAAATCGGTGTCCACCCAAGGTAAAATTATTATAGATACATATATATTATAGAAATTATGCTTTGGACGGACACAAAATATGTATACTAATTTGTGAAAAATCGGTGTCCACCCAAGGTAAAATTATTATAGATACATATATATTATAGAAATTATGCTTTGGACAGACACCAGGTAGGGATAACAATTCGGCACTATGTGTCTCATTCTCGGGTAATATAATAGATAACAATTGGACACTACGTGCCTTATCCTCGATGGATATTCGAATACATTATAATAATTAGCAATTCGGCACTACATGCCTCAAACCTGGCCCTTATTGAGGAATTAACCAGAAATTAGCTATAACTACTAAACCGGTATACATTATGTTGTATGTGGGTGACGACAAAAATCAGATACAGTTGCCAAACTAGCATATAATAGTTGGTGACCTGACGACAAAAATTAGCCACAGTTGTTATCCAAGTGACGTGAAAAATAGAAATCGAACATCAAGCCACTCATATATCTTGATAGCTCTCAGATGATGATACAAATGTAATTTACATGTCACCTGATCGCATCGTCATCATATGTGTTAGAGTGACGACAAAAAATTGATCGCGCCGTCATAGGTAGGTATCAGTCTGGATTATAAGTAGGCATCAATCTGGACCATAAGTAGGTAACAGTCTGGAGTAAGTCGGTAACAGTATATATATACTGTTACCGACTGCTATCATATTAAGATTCATATATAATCAGAGCATCTTTATTAAATTGATCATTTCAATTCATCATATGATTTAAATATATAAATTCTATTAGTTAATTGTATAAAAAAAAAAAATTTTAGATCTTATTTCACCGACCTGACCATGATATGAAAATCAATTATATTAATTTGTATCATCTAATTTTTATTTTTTATATTTCATATATTTAAAGGTTAGTAACTTACTGTAGTTAATATATTAAAAGCTATTAATAAAAATATAAACAAAATCTTATATTAATATTAAAAAAAGGCTATATTCCATTTTTACACCTCTATAATATCACAATGAATCTTTGTAACCATGTGCTATATTACTTATGCTATATTAAAAAGGCTACAGACCACTTGTAACAATAATTTAAATAGCAATAAAAGGATTTTAAATAAACAATTAATTAGAAATATACAAATTCCATTATTGTACAACTTTTCCTAATGATCACTCGTACCAAACTTATGGCTAACAAAAACAGAAACTTGTTAGAGAAAAGTAGAAAAGACAACTACAAATAACGGTTTTTACAGAGGTCAAGGATTTCCATGTTTCTCCCAGACTCCTCTGTATATTCAGTATGCAAGTTAAAAGCGTTCCTATACAAGATAACTGGCAAGAAGGTGATGCCCTTGTACAGAAAATTTTAATAGAAGCTCTGCTTCTGCTGACGAAGTTAAAGATAGTTGGTCTAAGAAGAACAACAAGCGAGTTTTCAACATGTTTTTTACCGAAGTTTAAAGCTACCCGCAAACCGAAACCCTCTTCTATATCTCCACTTTTGGTCTTTACAGAATTTCTCCAAAAAGTGGGAAAAACAGCGTACCCCCGTTAAAAGATCGACAACAACAGTCGCTGCCGAAAAAGGAAAGACACATACACGTGTATATGTCTACTTTTGGTTATAGTGTGATAACGTTTGAAACATTGCAGAAGACGTGTTGACGGGATGGGATAGCATCTAGGAGTTTCAACTCTTGGAGCTCTACTTCAAAACCGGATGATTTTTAATATTTTTACATCCTGGATATAGACATAAATAACTAATGTAGAGTTTAGTCTAGATTATTTGTAGTACTATATAATTTTTACAATCTTGCACAGGTTTAATAATGCTATCTTTGTTTTCTTTTCTTTGATTTTCTTTTTTTTGTTATTTGTTTTATTTGGTTTTATTGGTTTAGGTGGACCAGATCTTGATACCGTAGTATTTCACCATTTTTGTTATACCCTTTCTATTTGTGTTTGTTTTCGTTTTGTAAAAGGAAAGTTAATTTGGATATGATGTGTGATATCAGCCCATGACCAAAGGATAATTTCTAATAAGTTAGGGACCCGGAGAGAGGCTTGAAGTCCACTGAGGCAAGTCATACCTGGTGAAAGTGTGGGTGTGTCACTTTACGGATAGATTAAGTATAGCTATTATTAGAGAATGTAAATTTCTTAGTATAGTTTAATCTCAATAAAAAGTGGCAGAACAGCCGAATTATAAAAAAAAATTAATTAGAAATATACAAATATTCTGCAATTATATAGTATACAATTTTTAATTCTACATACAGATTAAAATACATTTCTAATTTTTTTTTTTTAGTTATAAATCAATTAATTAGATTAGTTAGACTAGGATTAAACTTGACTATTGGAGAATAGCTAGGTGTATAGATGCCAGCCGGAATCAAGTTTTTAGTAAGTTTTGAACTCGGAAAAAGGTCAAGATCTATTGAGGCAGAACCACATCTGAGTATAAGCTGGGTAAGCTTCCTTGGACGAGTGTTCAATAGAAGCTATAAGGAAAGATTTGTTGTAATACTTCATATGGTCTGAATACCAAATAAAGAAGGCAGAATAGCCGAATTATAAAAAAAACAATAAAATATTTATCTTCAATCCAATTCAAACTATTAACCTTGTTTGTAAAGGTTTGAAAACTTAACTATTAAGCTATAAAACACAATTTTTAACTTTAATTATGACAATTATTTATTAACTTTAACCGACTATATATATATGTTGTACGTACCTCGAATGAAAATTTGCCCGGTTCGGAATCCGGCTATCCAGATTCAGCTGGATTTAGAATTCTTATACGGGAGTACCCAGCTATACTAATATTAATATTCTAACCCTAATCTTAACCCTACTAATTATTAAGTCGAGAATCCCATATGAGAAATGGACTAGAAAAACCCCTACATGAAAGCAAGTGACAGACGGTGGTTTTCCTGGTCCATACCCCATATAAGAATTCTAAATCCGGCTATCTGAATTGGGACGGCCGAATTCTGAATCGGGAGGATTCCAAACATTTCTGATTAGTCACTTGTATCACACGATTTCTGTATCGGTATTGTTATTAGACGGATTGGTACTGAGTCGGTGCTGAGTCAGATTGGAAGGCTCCTGCTGCGAGAATTTGTTTATATAAAGTCTTCGTAGTTTGTATATACATTCTCTAAATAAAAAAAAAATTTTTTTGACTCCGAATATTAAATTACATATGTACATACGTACGTACGTAGAAGAATTTTCAATTTTTAACTCAAAATGTGCTTAAAATGGCTGAAGTTAATTTTTAACAATTCGTCAATTTTTAACAATTCATTACGTATTCACGATGTAACAATGAACTGTCAAATAAAGCAACTAAAATTGATGTATTAAAGCCATCTAAGGGACATTAAATTTTATTTAGAAAAAGGATTGTACGGAATAAAAGTAGCTCATCAGATGACATCTATGATCATGAGAGCGTATCAATATCCGTTCATATTTTTTGATCTACTCCCCCGGATAATCCAATTTAAAACTATTTTAAATTGGATAGGATTTTTTAAAGGGAGATTTTTTAATAAATCTTAAAAAAAATTTTAGAATTTATAAGAATTTATATGTAAACAAGCGAAGGAGAACAGATGTTACTTAATAACTTACTATAATTAGAGTCCTTGTAGGAATCCTTGTAGCAGTCCTTATAGTAAATGATATTGCCTACCGTTAACTAGACCAAAAATGTGCAATTTAATGCTTGATGAATTTTTTTAATTGTTTACTGTGTATGTGTACAAGTGTGTGAAATTAGAAACAAGTTTTTTTTTTTTTTTAAAAAAAAGAAATTCAAAACTATTTGGCAAGAAAAGGAGATAAAAAAACTTAACAATATGTACAAGTGAAAAAGGTGTGTAATCCTCCCGTCATAACCCTTGTATAAATACAAATTAAAAATCTTGTCTTTTTCTCTTTTCTAATTAAGAATTAACATACTATCCTCGTGGAATATGTTAGTTCTTGTAACATATTAGTATTTTTTGAATTAATATATTATCGAACCGTATATACAAATCAAATTTATTAACAAACGAGATCTACAATCTAGTGCATTTTCTACAAATCTAAACATCATATTGGAACGGATCCATCGTAACTTGAACTGCCAAACCCACGACCCCCACTCATGATTTCCGAAAAAAAATCATATATTAGATTTGTTATTGTCCTTATTAATTTCCAAGATTCGGTTTGGTCAGTATCATAAGTTCCGTGCACAATCGGTTCGTATGGTTCAACGTACATGTATATATTATGAGATCTCTTAATTCTGTTAAATAAATAAAATTGATGTCAAACAAAGAATAAATATATGTTGATATAAGAAAGGAAAATAAAAAGATACTTACGTCCAAATTAGGAAAATAACAAAACACTCTATTAATAGTATAATCATTAGAATTACTGTACAGTTTATCCCGCAATATAATCGTCTTATTACATTTAATATTAGTTTAAATGGAAAGAAAACGTAAGATATAAATTCTTTCCATATTTTTACAAGTCTATTAGGTTGTCGCTGTTCTATTACTGTGGATGACTGAGGTAACTATATAAGCAATATAAATCGTAAATATAAAGTAAATCTGAAATTCATGTAAATAAATACGGGTTGAAAAGCCTACCTTATTAGCTTTGCCTTGAACTTTTTCTAACAAACTTTCTATACTACCATGAAGTTTAGATACATCTTTCTCTAGTTCATCTGCAACTTTTGCTTTTGTACCAAATTGAGCCAAAAGATTTTTTAATTCATTCTGAAAGAAAAAAAAAAAATTATGTTAAAGCTAATATTTATAAAATAAAAGTATTTTATTTATGTACTCACCCTTGAAGTTTCGTATTCAGCTTTTTGTCTTTCTTTTTCATTCTCCATTGGTCTCCTCCGTGATACGACTTTTTTATGTCGTTTCTCGTCAAAAATGTTCTATAAATATAAAAATTTTTTAAATAATAATGTTAAAACTAAACGATACCAAATATAGGAAGGTTTTAAAGGTTATTTGAACCTATCACTATTGTTATACTGTATCTATTAAAACCTATTTTTGAAAAAAATTTTTTTTTTTCAAGTCTTTCATAAAAGTCACCCGAGTAGCTTTTAACTTTTCCTGGTCAACTCTTAAACTTAACTCGAAGAAAGAAAAAGAGCCCCTGTTCTACAAGTTATTACATAAGACCCACCTGCTGCAGCTTATCTCTCGCCTGGGCCTGCTGAGGTTGGATGAGCATACCGAGGTTGTGATGAACTTTCTGAGGATTCGCGTTAGAAGTAAGTTGCCCTCTATTCGCCATAGATATTCAACCAAAGAATAGGGTTCGGGATGTTTATTCGTTTATTGGATTGGATAGCGGGATAAAAAAAAAAACAAAAAACAAAAAAAAAGTGTTGGCGTGCAGTATATAATATTTTTAACCCTGTTATTTATTTTTTGAGGGATAAAATTTGGGGTTTAAACGAGAAATTAACTAGAAAATAACAGGAAACGGGATATTTTGTTATTTTTTTTTTTTTTTTTTTTTAAAAAATTACCAATGAACAAATTCAACCAGAAGACACGTCTCCTTTTCGGTATGACTAGTACTTGGTCGTTGTACTGATTATTTAAAATGAGCCGAAACCGGTAAAAATTCATGTAATGTTTGTTCCATATGACACAGAAAATCCAGAATTGATCTTTTGTGTTGCATTGTTCGCATGCAAAGAAAAATGAAGTGTAACTTTGGTTTAGATATTACCATATTGTTCAGATCGTATTGTATTACGTACATATCAATGCGTACATCATATTTTTAAAATAACATCAATTTACATGTTTATTACTAATTTATTTGTTACATATTAAAAAAAATTTTTTTTCTTCACTCTTAATAATGTTTCGAGCTAGCTTAACTAATTACTTAAAAACGGTTCTGACCCAAAAACGTGGAAATCGAATGATTTTCCAGGTAAGGTTCAGATCTACCCTTTATCGGTTCCGACGATTGATGGCGAATCGAAAGATTTTCCTACATAAAACTGTTAAAATTTTCCCACATAGACAAAATCAAACGCAATGAAAGTTATCCCGGTCCCAGGTTTTCTTTCGCTAAACTTTCGTCGTTATATCAATTGTCTTTGTTGTTTCATAATTATAATAATGGTAATATTAACAATATTAATATTTTATTACAGTCTTGCAAGACAACTATGCGTACGTTATTATTGACGAAAGTACAAAGGAAGGCAAGTTTAACTTGGCATAAAAGTTCTCCGAATGAATTAAAAACTTATTTATTTCTTTATTCAATAGCCGCGGTTGTTGACCCAGTAGAACCTAACAAATTACTACCTGTGGTTGAACAGCATGGAGCAAACCTTAAACATTTGATCACAACTCATTATCACGCGGTACAAATATACAAGATTCCTTTTATTCGTTTATTAATCGTCTGAATCAATTTAAAATAAAATTTGTTTTTAGGATCACTCTGGTGGAAATGAAGAACTTATTTCTCAACGTAAAGGTTTAACTGTTTACGGTGGTGATGAGACTATTCCTGCATTAAATCATTTAGTGAAAGATGGTGAAGAATTTAGTATCGGAAACATTACTGCAAAAGCTCTTTACACTGTTTGTCATACTCGAGGAAGTGTCAGCTTTTTTTTGCAAGACAAAGATGATAAAGTCGTTTTCACTGGTATTTGTTTAAAAAAACATTTTATTTTTTTTCATTCCTTTTTTTTGCAAACTAACAAATTAATCATCAAAATAAATAACATTAATAAACAAATAAATACAAAGGTGATACACTTTTCATTGGCGGTTGTGGAAGATTCTTTGAAGGTACCGCTGATCAAATGTACAACTCCTTAATTAACGTTCTTGGAAAGCTTCCAGAAGACACCAAAGTTTATTGTGGTCATGAATATACTAAAAGCAATCTCAAATTTGCTGAATCTATTGAACCTGATAATCAAGTTATTAAAGATAAAATTCAATGGGCTTCCAAAAATCAACAAACTATTCCAAGTACTATCGGTGATGAATTGAAATTTAATCCTTTTATGAGGGTTAATGTGGATAGTGTTAAGAAAGCTACTGGAAAGAATGATCCGATTGAAGTTATGGGAGCTTTGAGAGAAATGAAAAATAATTTTAAATAACTTAGCATTTGAATATATCTTTTTTTTTTTGTAACTATTATATTGTAATGAAATATATATGTAACAATAAATGTATATAATTTGCTTGATTTATTAAACAACTGAAAAATATTGAAAGTTTATTATGTTCATAAATAAAAATTCATGATTTTAACTGAAAAGGTTGACTGGTAAATATTAACAGTCTTGTAATTTTGGAAATTAGGAGTCGTCTTGGTGCCACCCAGGGTGGTAAATAATTTATTACCACCCTATCTAAATTAAATACTAAATTGACTGACTGACCCTAACCCTAAGGTGATGTGCGTCATCAAATTACTATTCAATTTAGACGGGGTAGTATACCACCCCGGGTGGCACACAGACTTTTCATTTTGGAAATTATGATTGTTTATTATAATTTTAGAAATTATGTTTGTTTAAATAGTATTATAAAAAGAAACTATACGAAATAATTTAAGAAATTTGTTCAATCACAAGAAAGACTTTATACAACAAAAAAAAATATTTTTTCTAAAGAACTTTTTTAGAATGAAAATATTAATATACAATGAAAAATTAAAATAATAATAATAAACTGTATTCCGATAAGGACGGAAAATAAACCCAATATTCATTCACGAGATTTATGATACAAGCACTTTTAGCATATGGTACAGTCTTCTTTATTTGCCTGAGCTCGTGTATGTTTTGTACTGCCTGATCGTTTATTACCATGTTTTAGTTCAGTAAGACGCTGCATTGCTCTTTTATTCCCTTGTGCTAATAATAAATTGAGCAATTTTCATGTTAGTTTATTTCTACATATCACTATTTCTTAATAAATATATAAAATGACAATACCTGCAGCACGCATATACCAACGTTTTGCCTCT